ACTGTGGTTTTGGAAATGTGTTTCCAGAGGTACACTTACTTTTAAAATATGTTGTGTATACATTTTATAAGAACCCATGCAAAATATATGTAACTTAAAGGCATACAAATGTCATAAATACATCATTTTAGTTATATAGTATTTTCTCCATAATTCAGTGCTTTAATTACTGGCTTACTCATCAAAAACAGCAGTCCTTCCTTTAAAGGAAGATTATTTCAGAGTTAACATGTCCAATGGACTAATAATTTCCTGTACCACTGACCCAATTCAGATAACCTTTTACCTTCATATGTATATAAAGTATGTGTCACTATATATGCCAATTTTACTAGGGAATAAGCTCCCAAGAGCCTAGACTGATTTCTACCTCTAATACAGGATGACAGCTAGTCAGAATCCATCATTTTTTTGTATTTTAATAGATACAATTTTTATAAATCCATGAGTAGATCTATACTTTTAACCTCATTAGGCTATTAGCTTTTGTTGGCAGTTTAATTGTTGCATTCAAAGTAGAATATCTTGGTGCATCCCACTGTAGGATGGAAATCAAATGTGGGAACTAATCTGAATAAAGTTGCCACACATTCCTATAAGCATTTGTAACACTGTCCTAGAACTTAGAGGTCATTATCACAATGGGTGAATACAAAGATATGAATTAGACATGTCCTTGACAGCAGAACTTAATTCTTATTTTATTTTTTATTAACTTTCCTATTTTTCCATCCTTAAACTGTTTAATTACAAATTATATAGTATACTATTAAAATAATTTTATAATATAAAAATTTGAATTATGAAACATTTTGCTTTTCACAGGTAAAGAACCTTTGGCAATGTGTAGCTCTCTATCTGCCTACAACCATTAAAGCACCAAACCTATTTCCAGCATTGTGAGGATGTTTTAATGAATCACAAGCAAAGGCTATGTTCCACTGTTATGTGTTCTAAAGCGGCACTTCCAAACTGAATTTGGAGGACTGCATAACCTAATAGCAGTCAAATAAGAGCAGCTACAAGTTTAATTCAATTTGTATAATATTAAACTGCAGGAAAATGATGATGATGATGATGATGATGATGATGATGATGATGATGATGATGATGATGATGATGATGATATAATGATAATAATAATAAAAGCTGGAAGGGGCCTTAGAGGTCATCTAGTCCCACCCCCTGCTCAGTCAGGAAACCTTATACCATTTCAGACAAATGGCTGTCCAGTCTCTTCTTAAGATGGAGCATTCACAGCTTCTGGAGGCAGGTTGTTCCACTGATTAATTCTTCTAACTCTCAGGAAATATCTCCTTAGTTCTGTGTTGCTTCTCTCTTTGATTAGTTTTCCATCCATTGGAAACTAATAAAATACTAAATATATAAAATATTCTGTATGCTAACAAAATGTTTTGCAAATTTTTCTAACTCTAGAAGAATGCAGCAAAAATCTTCAATGATTGTACTAAAGTTGTTCCAAATTAGAAATCCCTCCATTCATTTGGGAAGCCAAGAATTATTTAGTTATCTATTTAATTATCTAGTTGCAACAAACAGCATATTTGTTTAAAAAAATGACCACTGACCAAGTTTTTATGAACTTGGAAGATTATGGAGATAGGCAGATATCAAAGAAGATTTTGGAAAAGATAATCAAGCAACAAATCAGCAAATACCTAGAGGCAAACAAAGTCATTACCAAAAGCCAACAAGGGTTTGTCAAAAACAGATCATACCAGACAAATCTTATTGCATTCTTTGACCAGGTGACAAAATTAGTGGACCAGAGGAATGCTGTGGATATAATTTACTTGGACTTCAGTAAAGCATTTGATAAAGTAGACCACAAGCTACTATTTGATAAGATAGAAAAACGTGGGTTAGACAGCATCACCACCAGATGGATTCGTAGCTGGCTGACCGGCCGTACTCAGCATGTGGTCCTCAGTGGAACTGCATCTACATGGAGGGAAGTGAGTAATGGGGGCCCAGTGCTCTTCAACATGTTCATCAACGATTTGGACGAGGGGATAGATGGGGAACTCATCAAATTTGCAGATGACACCAAGCTGGCAGGAATAGCCAACACTTCAAAAGATAGGCTTTAAGATACAGAAGGATTTTGACAGATTTGAACATTGGGCGCTATCTAACAAAATGAAATTCAATGGTGAAAAAAGTAAGGTTCTACATTTAGGCAAGAAAAACCAAATGCACATGTATTGTATAGGTAGTACCTTGCTCAACAATAGCAGCTGTGAGAGGGATCTTGGAGTCCTAGTGGACAATCACTTAAATATGAGCCAGCAGTGTGCTGCGGCTGCCAAAAAAGCCAACACAGTGCTAGACTGCATTATAACAGAGGGATAGAAGCAAGATCACGTGAAATGTTAATACCACTTTACAATGCCTTGGTAAGGCCACACTTGGAATACTGCATCCAGTTTTGGTCACCACGATGTAAAAAAGATGTTGAGACTCTACAAAGCGTACAGAGAAGAGCAACAAAGATGATCAGGGGACTGGAGGCTAAAACATATAAGGAACGGTTTAATGAAGAGAAGGACGAGGGGTGACATGATAGCAGTGTTCCAATATCTTAGGGGCTGCCACAAAGAAGAGGGAGTCAAGCTATTCTCCAAAGCACCTGAAGGCAAAACAAGAAGCAATGGATGGAAACTAATCAAGGAGAGAAGCAACCTAGAACTAAGGAGAAATTTCCTGACAGTTAGAACAGTGGAATAACCTGCCTCCAGAAGTGGTGAATGCTCCAACACTGGAAGTTTTTAAGAAGAGACTGGACAGCCATTTGTCTGAAATGGTATAAGGTTTCCTGCCTGAGCACGGGTTGGACTAGATGACCTCCAAGGTCCCTTCCAACTTTATTATTATTATTATTATTATTATTATTATTATTATTATTATTATTATTATTATTATTACTACTACTACTACTACTACTACTACTACTACTACTACTACTATAGAAGAAACTTAGATCTAAGATTTTACACTTTAAAAAAACTGCAGAATTTACACTACTCTATTTCCCCTCCTCCAATATTCCTAAAAATAAACAAAGACATTTGATCTTATTTTATGTTTAGCACAAATTGCTTGTATGTTCTTTGATGCTATGAAACACTGCAATTGGTCATAAGCCATATATTGACCATACTTGTAATAATGCCATCTGCCAATGAATAATTTTTTTTTATTTTAAAGATTCCCAATGGTTCCATTCCAATAAGGCTATATGGTTCAGTTTTCTGAGTGGGACTTGCCTCCAGTTTTTTCCTGCCCATCTAGCACAAGAAGGCAGACTGGGCATGCTGCATGTCCCAGTGCTTAAGCAGTATCATCTTGGGGGTCCATGAAATGTGCCTTCTTTGGCATATTGCCTGCCCTCTGCAATAATATCCTCCCAGAGATCTATATGGCTCCCACCCTAATAATGTTCAGGAAGCTATTAAAGATGCTTCTGTAGGAGGGACTTTCTTTGGTGTTATGTTGTTTATGGGGATGCTCATAATTCTTTTTATTTTTGTTTTTGTTTTCTTTATGTTTAATTGTGAGATGCCCAGAATAATTGGCTTTCCCTGTAGCTGCCTATAAATTGTATGAATAAATATTGTAATACGCAAATGTTCAGTTAATATTAATTCCTTATTGTACTGCAATGCAGGCTTATGCATATCTGCTTGTGAATAAGACATTATATAAGGTCCCGTACTAGAATTGAATTCTGAATTATATGAATATCATTGTGTTGCAAAAATTTATTCTGACAAAAGATATTGAAAGTGTGAGGAATCTTGTATTTTGTTGTGCGTTGGAGAGCAAATTGTACTCAGAACTGGTAGCCTCTAGATGGCACAAGCCATATTGGGCTAAGCAATAACTAACATTTAAATTTTATTCAGAAAGAAACTGATACCAGTTCCATTCCTGTAATAATGATATAATATAGTAGTACTGGGCCTGGCCTGTTATTATTTTGAAGCTAAAGTTTCTGGTGTTCTTCCAGGCAATTCCCTGTTATGTAAATTATATGCAGTCCAGCATTGCCTTTTCTTTTAATGGCTACATTTGATAATGACATCCACTTGGTCTTTCTGACTTAGCCTATTCATTTAAGGAGAATGGAATTGCTCCAGAGTCCAATTTGTAAAGTACAAGAATAAGCACATGTGAAAAACTGAAGTATACAAAGCTTTCACAAATAATGGGCAAGTGGAACAAAGTATATTCCAGCATGAATGAATGAATGAATGAATGAATGAATGAATGAATGAATGAATGAATTTCATTATTATTTGTAAAAATAATAAAGGCTGAAAATGAATAAACGAATAAATTCATTCATTCATTCATTCATTTATTTTCAATCTTTTTTTATTTTTACAAATAACTCAAGGTTGCAAACATATCCAATTCAACTTCTATTTTATCCACAACAACTCTGTGAAGTGGTTGGGCAGAGAAAGTAACTGGCCCAAAGTCACCCAGTTGGCTTTCATGGCTAAGGTGAGACTTGAATTTCTGCTCCTGTCTAATACCATATTTAACATATTATGATGATGTGAATTTTATGTAGATTATTAAAAACACAGAGTGGTGCTTAAAAGTTTGTCCATCTTACTGAAGTTTCAATATTTCTAGATAAAGATGATCTAAAATGTTATCAGCTTTCCAAGCAAATTCTGAATTAGATAAAGATAACCCAATTAAACGCATGAGCCAAAAACATTATACTTGTTCACTTATTTATTCAAAAGAGTTCACAAATTTTCAAGCACCACTGCAGATATGGGGAGAAGATGGAGTGAAAAATGTATGTGAATGTGATACAAACGTGACTGTTCTCACAAAAGCTAAACAGGATTAGATTAGATTGGATGGGAGATCACCAGGAATTCCTAGGCTGTGGACTTGTTTCAGACATTGGAAAAATAACCTAGAAAGCAGCAATGGTAAGTCCTTTCTGTATTGTTGCCAAGAAATCAACAAGAATGTGTTGATGTAGTCATCAGGAGACTTAAATGGATAAAGGCAATCACACTCAGTATAGAACTTTAAATGTGCTTGCAAATTGTAATTTTCTTAAACTTTATTAATTGCACTAATATTTATTACTTTTATTGAACATTAACAGTGCAATTAAATATGCCTGCAGACTGAATGCTGAACTAGGTTTATCACTTATATGTATTAACCTGAACATTTAAGGAATGGCTCACATACATTTGTCTCAGATTTTAAAAAAGTTTCTATTAAGCACTTTCAATACATCAGGACAAATATTAAGGATTAAGAAAGAATAGACAATTTCTCCAAAATCTGTTCTCAACATGCTGTGAAACAAACCTAATTTGTAGAAGTGAGCACTAGACTAAATAGCTAAGACTATATTTGTATGCTGAACACCTACTAGAACTAGACAGTTTATTCAAAAAAGCATCCTCTAAAGTATACTCAATTTTGCATGACCACAAATATGATGATTAAAGATGACCCTTAAAGTTTAAACCCTTTGGACCTTTATAAAATAAAAAAATGTAGTTTTCCTGAATACCTGGGCAGTTCCAGATGCTCAGTTCAAATTGATTAAATATTCAAAATTTCACTGAACATGCTGAGAAGTCTCATACTAATAAAAAAATTACTTGAATTTGTACTGTTCTGGTACACAGAAAAGTGAAATGCAGGTTTCTGATTTAGCTGTAAACTGATACTTCACCCACCACTACTCAGTGTTTGCACAAACATCTTCTGTGGACAATCCAATGTGTACCACAAGATATTTGGCTATGGGGATGTAGGCTATAAAATGTTCCACAAAATTTCTTTGATGAAGCAATAAACTACTGAAAAAATGAAAAACATATTCAAATCATACCTGGATCAAGCATTGTTGTTTCAATGGTGATGATGCAAAACAAGTTTACCAGATCACCTCGATAAATGGTTGGATTATCTGAATGCACTGAAACATTAAAAACAGGTCCTAGGAAGAAAAAAAAAACACAAGTACTTATCTATTTTGCTGCAGAATTTTAATTAAGCTATATACCTATGCAAAACGTTGTAGTCAAATATGTGCATGAAATTATGTCTGATCAAAAACTCACAGAAACAGTAAATCTCATGAACAAAGACATATAGTATCAGGATATAAGTGAATGAATTAGGAATGCAAGATTCTAAAGGACTGAGTATTAAGAAGTCAGAGTGAATTATATAATGTTGAATTAAGACTTCTAGACAATTATGTAAGACCAGGGCTTTTTTTCTCATAGAATGCCCAGAACGGACTTCCGGCACCTTTTTTGAATGGAACCTTGTAGGGTAGGCAAGGCGGGTTGGATGACGTGTGTGAGTTCCGGCACCTTTTTTTATAGAAAAAAAAAAGCACTGTGTAAGACCAAATATAAAACTGAGAAATTAGTGACAATAATGTATTAGTAACCAAAGATTTATAGTAAGTAGTTTTCACTAAGAAGAAAGAGACATATATCACTGAGGTTTTGTATACAGAAAATCATCTTGCAATAGACCAAAATTGGAAGGAAAGGACAATGAGGAAAAGGAAAACTAAGAACATCATGCCTCTTCAATAGGACAGAAGGCATTTTCAACTGCTAAATAGTACACAGGGAAAATAAAACTTAGGAGGAAAAGTAAGATGTGTGGTCTTAATAAATAGTTGATGCGGACTTTGACAAACAACAAAACACCACAAAGTCAAGATTTTATGCATGCCAGACACTGATCACCTTGATTCCATCACTTTTCATTATAGAATCGTTATCACTATGTTTGACATAAAAATATTATACCATTCAGACTTAGTTCATCTTTTTAAAGAAATCTGTTTCATTATTTAACATTTTAAGAAGAATGCATAGAAGACAGTATTAAAAATTATTGTGCATCATTTCTCACATGGAGCAGGAAATAAATATGGATCATGGTTTAAAAACTGTATGGAAAAAGTGTTTAAAAATATAAAGAAGTTCAACCCACCTGAAACTACATTTTCTGTTTTCAAATAGTACACTTAATCTTGGTTGTTCTTTTTGCCAACCTTTCCCTACCTGGCTTTCTCCAGATATGATTGGTAGGAATTCTGTAGTCTCTGGGGAATTGCAGAAATTGCAGTCTAAAATATTGGACGGACAACTGCTGCTCTAAGCTTATTCATGCTACACTAGTTGGGTTTCTGTTATAGCCGAGTCAAGTCGATACTCTCACAGGACACATTCAGGAACACAGCAAGTTTCTATTAAGAATATTATGGTTTGAAAACTACATTACTTTTTTTGGCCAGTGCTGAATCAGCTGCAAGAATCAAACATATGTAATGCAGAGTGAAGTGCAGCTGTGTTTTTGTTTAAAAAAAAAAGTAAAAGAAAACAAGAAAAAATTAATGCACGTTTTTCTTTCACCTACAAAGATTTTGTGCAGTTTTGTGACTAAATTTTACTATAGTGGAAAGAATTACTGCCATGTGAAATAATTTCTAGTTATTCAAATCTTTTTCTCTTAACTGCATATTTATAAGATAAAAGTATGAAATTTTGTAAGCAACCAGGGTAAGAGATAAAGAGGATACAAACAAAAGAACAAGGAAGTTTCTTTATTCTTTGCTTTTAGAAAATGAAGTCACAAAATGAACAGAAAATGCTGCAAATATCAGAATTAGAGATGGGCATTTTTCTCTTTTAGTGAAACTGAAATGTCTAAACAGATAAAGCAACTCCCACACAGAGTATAATGATAAATATTTATATGTATTAAAAACGTTCTACATACTTTCCAGTTCACTCAAAAATTCTTCTATTTAAATTAATCCTGTATCAAGTTCAGAGGGAATTACTGTAGTTTTCAATACCTTACTAAACTATAAATGGAAATGAGGAAAATCAAACGTAAGATCCTGATAAGAGTATTTCCACAGAGGTTACTGGCAATATTTAAAGCAAGATTCATGGAATATATCTTTCCTATTCAGTATCACTTGTACTTAGACTCTCTTACACATAAACCTCTTAGTTCTGCAAATGTACAAACAGGAGAAAGTAGAAAATATAATAAATGATAACTATTACAAACATATTTTTTAAAGGACAAAAATAACTATAGCACTATCTGTTCAATGGGAATTTACTACTAATATATAGTTCTCAACTATGACCACCTGCTCCTTTCCGAATGGACAAACATTATTTGTCTATTTAATTATTAGTTAGATGAATTTTACAAACATTATTTGGATTTTTCTCCAGGAAAATGGATGCTGGTTTAAATACCAAAGTGGGTAGTTTCTCTTCCCTTCACTATTAAATCCCCCTCACAGCAATCTGCCCAGCATCTGCCCACCTTCCACCCAAATCTTTCCTTTTCACCTTGCTCTATATCAGGGGTCCGCAACCCCTGGTCTGTGGATCAGTACCAGGCCTCGGCATGCCAGCAACCGGTCCGCACAAACAAGCAAACCCTATCTGCAGGATGCAGGCAACACACAAAATCATGCACCTTCTGGTCTGCGGAAAAACCTCTCTCCACAGAACCCTGGTGCCCAAAAGTTTGGGGACCTCTGCTCTATATAATCTCTTTCTTCCCTCCCTGCTTCCTTCAAACAAGTGATTCACTTGTTGAGAAATAGGAATAAGAAAATGAAGGTCTTCTCCTAAACTAACAGGGGAAGAAAAATGGAAGAAGAACTGTGAAGTTCAATAGGGCTAGCTTAGGCAACCGAAACTTTCAAAGCATAAGAACAATTATTATTTTTAGTAAATTATCAGTTTTGGAAGAACATTAGATCTTTCAGTCAAATTCTTATCTTGGAGCAGTAGGATGGGAAACTTAAAAAAAAAAATTCAAGGACCATGTTTCAACAGAACCAATCTGTTATTGGTACACAATGGTTTATGTTAAAGAAATTAAAGAGACCCGAATAAAAAAATGAATGAAGCATCTACTCTGATTCCTGTCATGGTTCCAACAGACAGAGACAAATAAAGCAGAACTCCAAGGCTTGCAAATTCCTCAAATAACATGTTTATTAGTTACAAAGTATCGGCACATCAAAAGTGAAACCAAGTCTGGAGACACAAGTAACAATTCCCCAATACAAAGTTAAGAAATCCCACCCCTAAAGCTATGCAAGCAACTACGTTCCCTAATACATCTTCTTGGTGGGCTTTTTATGCAATGGGTAGCCTGCAGTCTCAGGAGCAGCCGATGACCTTGATTCCCACGGGATAAAAGTTTATTTAGACTAGTGAAGCACCTGGCAAATCTCTCCCTCCATTCTATGTGTCAACCGAAAATGAATAGGGAAAATGACTACAGCCATGCTCATTTTTAGAGTTGACAACTCCATTTTATTTCTAACACTTTCCTGAAGCTATTCTCTTTTTCTGTCATTCCCAAGAATCTAGCAGCATGGAAGAGACATGCTGAGATCTGATAGCCTTTTTTAAAAAAAAGAAGTCTAAGGTCTAAATGAAGCTAAGACCACAAGTTGCTTCCCCTAAAACTGGCAATCTAGTAGGATAGTAGGCAACAATATAAAACAATAAAGGACTTTAATGGAAAATTTCATATTTTGGCATTTTGGTGCTATTTATTATCAAAATAAGAATACAACATATATACAACATATACATTCTGCTAAATATCAGGATGTGTTAACTGTTCCCATTTAGTATGACACTTTATTATAGTATATGTTCTATTTTGTTTTAGGTTATAAAAGTCTTATTTATAATTAGGAAAAAACTCTTTTAATAGGAAAACATTTTTTTCTAATATTGAAAAACCTAAAAATAGTTCTGACGGCTATATAACAACGCATTCATTTGGCTCAAGAAATGTGTCCCCCCCAAAAAAAAGTTTACTGAAGGTAAAGCGTTATAACTACCATGACCTTTCAATTCTAGATTGGATTGGACAGTCTAAAAGACTTCCTCCAGCTCTGATTTTAATGTTTAAGTTGATAACTATTTTATCTTTTTTAAAACATAAAAATGAAAGTTTAAATTTACAAATCTTCCTAAAAATAAAAAATAAAACATAAGTTACACCCATATTTAAAAGTTTGTGACATTGAATGCATATGCATTATTCCACATATGCAAAGCCTAACACTTGTTTGAATATGGTTAAAAGAATAGATAAATCATGGATATAAAGGGGCCCTACAGTAAGAGGGATAAGATATATAAGTAGTATACTATTCTTTCTAATATATGAAATATAAAAATATTGGGATAGTGTATGTGAATGAAAAGTTTGGATATTTAAAGGTAATTAACATTGAGAAAATTATGATTGATATAGAGGGGAAATTAAGCTTAAATAAGAATCTTGAAAATAGGATGCATAGTGACTTAATAAGATGACTTTTATGAATATCATTGAAACATAAGCAGATCAGAAAAGATGTTATATGCTGATGTTACTGTTATTTGTATAACACAAGAAAAATATTTATATTTAACCTTGTATATATTGAAAGTATTAAGAACTATATTTGCTTAATGTTGATAAAAGGAGAATACTATTGGAAAAAGAGAAGATCAAAGAAATATATTATTAATTAATAGATTGATTATGGAATTATAGAAATTATTATTGTTTTTTAAATATATGAACCCAGACAACATGCTGTTTACTAAGCACTAAAGATAGTTATTGTAAAAAATCAATAAAATATATATTTTTTTAAAAAGAAATGAGTCAGAAAGAAAGAAGTGTTTGTGTGTTTTGCCGGCGAGGGGGTTTCGCACTATGCAAGCTATGCACAGTGCCACAGAGGAAGGTCTAATTAGAAGAAACAAACAGTATAAATAAAATATATCCAAGAACAGCCAATAGAGAAAAAGAACCATTACTTTAGCTATGTGGTAGACCAGCTCGAGCATTTTTTATTCGATCACTGTAAGAATGAATAATTTTGAGAATTCATTCTTAAATCTGTTTCCCACCACTTTTTGTTTT